TTTTTTTTTTTTTTTTTTGTACTTCTCTGTAAGGTATGAATGCAACTAATATGAATGAATGAATGACACTTGATTTTTTTTTTTTTTTTCCTTTTTTCTTTTTTGATTAAATTATTTCTTGTAGCCTTCATAGTAGTTGAAGTCCCCTCCCCCTCCCTTGGATATTCTCATAACCATGGCAAAGGACACCGCAAAGAAGAATATGCGTAGCAATGAGTCGCGGATGTATGTCTTCACATTGCTTACATTGGCTGTAAATATATTATCCATTATTTTCACGATGTACTTTCGTGGAGGTTTGCCGAGTTTTGGTGATCTTGTGGGTTTAGGTTTCTGGGCCGGACAAGAATATGTGGCACTTTCTCTCTTAAAACGATTTGCCAAACCTGTATACAGCTCCACTGGAGATTTATTAGAGTGTCCAGATGTGTCTAATCCACAGGAGTTGGGTGTATACTCCTTTGCACAGGATGTACTTTGGGTGTGTTGGGTGGTGCAGTTACTCTGTTATCTCTTTCATTGGGCCTTTGTGGTCTTTTACTTGCCTGTTCCCGCCACGGCTATTTATAAAGTGTGGCAGTTTGTTGGACCGCTGTTAATGCAGCGATTTAATCCCGGGGCTTCTTCTAATGGAGATGCGGGGGCTGATGGAATGCCAATGAGTCGAGCGGAACGACGTCGACAAGAGTTGCTGCAGCGCAAGAAGAAACATACTGCTTGAGAAAGAGAAGGAAAAAGAGAAAGGAAGGAAAGAGAGAAAAGAAGGAAAGAGGAAAGGTATATGGAGAATATTGACAGGACAGTATAAAATAAAAAAAAAAAATGTAAATGAGTGTGGGGAGAGAAAGAGTTGCATAATTGATTGCAATTCCTCCTTCTCTGGGCTGGTTTTTGCTGTAGTGAACGAACTACCAAAACGGAATGGGTGATTTTCTCCCTCTTCATTATATATATATTTATATTTATACTGTTTGTTTTTTATTTTATTTTTCATTTTTCTTCTTTTTATCTTTTTGTTATTTTCACTTTTCTGCTTTTCTTTTTCAGAATACCTCTTCGGACGCAGACCACGAACTCAATGAAATGACTTTATGCATTGTTTTTCTGTTTCTTCTTTAAATGTGATAAAAACACTTTTATGTTTTTTTTTTTTTTGCTCACTTGCTTCTTTCCTATAATCTTTGTTTTTTTTTCTTTTTGATTTCTTAGTGTTTACATTTACCTCTGTTCCTGTGAGATAGATAAAGAGATAAAGAGATAGGTAGAGTGAGAACCCATTTGACGCCAAGTAGGGTGAGAGAGCGTCTTGGTGATTTATTATACACTTTTTTTTTGCTGGGTTTAGCTATATAGTGTAGATTAGCGCAATTTCCCATTATTATTTCTATCAGCTTTGATTTCTTCTTTTATTATTATTATTATTATTATTATTATTATTATTATTATTATTATTATTATTATTATTATTATTGCCTTGTCGGTTCGTTATTTTTTTTTTAAATTTGTCTGTTTTTTTTTATTTCTTTATCTATCGCATCGGGATATCTCTCTGTGTGACTGTAAAAAAAAAAAAAAAAAAGAAAATGGGTGGAACACAGACAAAAGAGGCCGTGGAATACTTTACCGCTGTAGCCCATAGCGACATCCATCCAGATGAGAAAAACTTCATTGAACATTTAATTCGCTACAAGAAAAATATCTGCTCAGGTGCGGAACTCTACAGATCGGCATTACCCGCTCTTCGAGAGTTAATCCCATCCTGTGTACAGACACGGCGGGTGCGATGGATACTACATCTCTGTCTACAGCAGTTGGAACACGCCTCTAGTAATTACAGTCAAGCACCAAGTGAGGCTTTTCTCGCATTACTGCACATCACAGAGTTTATCGTCCGTTATGCTAATTATGTATCCCATGGAGATGCCGCCGAATTATTACGTATAATGATGGGAGATGAGACAACAAGTAGTAATAGTAATGAACTCACAAACAATGATAGTCAAGGTACAAATACAGAGGCACATAAACTATGTAATGCCCTTATAGAATACTGTGTAACTGTACCTCTCAACGTATTAACTGTAGAGGCTCATAGTGAAGTGATATCTTTACTTTTATCCATGACTTCCTCTGCATTATATCACCCTACTACATTTGATGAGAAATATATGGATGTATTTACGGAAATGATGATAGGATCTGAAGGTATAGCTCCATTTCTATCAACATTATTAAGACGAGTAGTGGATTGGGGGGCTGGTCGTCTTCCATCGCAACCGCTTTTGTATCGTAATGGTTATCAACCATCTTTTCGAAATCTTTATAATGTATTTGGTAGTAATCGTGGGAATAATTCTATAAGTTATGGTGAAAATTTAGGTCGACACTGTGGACAACTTTTATCTGTACTTATTGCTCATCAAAAAGGTAATGGACGAAATCCTGCTTTAGATTATATAAAAGGAATTCAAGATGGTGAACAAGTACAGTTTAAACCACTATTAATTGCTTTAACTACTCGTTTACAGGTATGTCCATCACTTTGTATGGTTTTGTATGCTTTAATATATGATCATCCTACGTTTTTGCATACTGTGATAACGGCTTTTCCTAAAGAACTTTTGGATTTAATACAAGAAGTCCTTCATTTGAGTTATGCAGTTGTAACGGATACAGGATATACAATTACAACTCCTACTACTCCTTTAGGTGAAAGTTATCATATTACTATTCCTAATGAGGAGGATGAGTTATCACCAGAGACTATTATGTCTATTATGAAAGATATGACCTTATTTTCAAATCCATTTATTAGTTTTATGACAAGTACATTGGTGTTACTCTTTACACAGGATCAAGTACTAAATAAATACATGAGTGATACCGTAGTGGAGCCTCGATTTAAATTAGATCGTTATTTGGGTAAAATACCAATTAGTTCTCTTTGTATTATCGTGTTAGCCCACGGTATTGTGAGAGCCATGAATGAAAAGAATGAGCCATTAGCGGCTGTTTTTCTTCCAAGTTTATCTAATTTAGCCCCTTTTATTCACGATATAGATCCTCACACCTCTCAACAATTACTACGACTGCTTATGATGACTCAACGCAAATTAAGACGTGCTGTTGAACATGCAGGATCCACTACTACCGTATTAGATGATGATGTGGCTAATGGTATACCAAGAGATAAAGAGATGAATAATAAAGATATGGAAAATAAAGAAAATGCAATAGCACAGATGTTTGCTCGTCAATTATCATCTCTTGTAGAGGCTTTAGAAGGAATGCTTCAAGGTGAGGATCGACACAATGATTCCCTTGTGTATGAATTACTATATAATAAAGATAAACTAGAGGATGGAATCGTAGTAGATAATCCCAATTCACTTATCGCCAAGGCAAGAAAGACAATACAACCTTTGATTCGAATTGTTGATTTCTACGAAACGGAACTTGCAAGTGTTACCTCAGCCGATTCTCACAGGGATATTCTCTCTATTATTCGTCGAGCGACAGAGGAACGAAATGGAGGCAATACTACCATTCAAGAACAACAACAACAACAAGGTACACCACGATCATCAATAAAACCTGTTGGACAAGCCATGTGGAAGGCAAAGGAGATTCTATTTGTTTATGAGGAGTCTTCGCATAGTTACGATTTCTTTGGTCCTTTTGTATGGGCCACACTATTGGGAGATGCGGCATATCCCGGTGGTTTGTTGTGGACTGTTGACACCACCGTACTGGATATGTTCCCGCGGTAAAGAGATATGATGATTATAATAAGGATGGAAAGACTGTACATATCTATCTATCTATATATATATATATATATATATAGATAGATAAGAATGTATGTATGAATATCTCTCTCTCTCTCTCTGGGTACTGCAGCTGCCACTACAGGAAGAAGAAGAACAGCTGCTGTGAACCATGTGAACCCAGCAAGCAGCAACAAAAGAAAAAAGAAAAGAAAAGAAAAAGCGAAAAGAAAAACGTGAAATAAATGATCAAACAAACAGATAAAGAAGGTGGGAGTGAATATGCA